AAAAAAAAAAAAAAAAAAAGAGAAAACAATCTCAATGGGTCCAAACTTTCAGTGCACAATATCCCATCAGGTGTATTTGGATAAAATACCAAAAGAAAAGAAACAATTCTTCAGACAATTCTTTTGGGGCTCTTATTTCACCCCAATTCCAACCAAAAGTGCCACCAAAAAGCAAATGTTTCCCAGAAAGAACAGACCGATCAGCAGACCATCAATTTTTACCTAACAAAACAATGTAATTCAATTAAAAGATCATTGCAGTGTTATGGTGATTAATTGTTAATTGCTTTTATATTTCTTTCAACTTACCGATTCTGATTCCACTTCTACAGTAGCACTGCCTGAAATCCAGAGAAGAAACAACAGTTAAAAAGGGCACAACCAACCCCCAGAGTGTTTCCTCATCTGAATCTTATTTTTCAGTTTACTTCAGATTAGTTCTGGCTTGTTTTTAATTATTTGATTTATACCGGTAGATTAAGTTATTTGATTTCAGCTTTCATTTCATTTTAAATTTGTTTACATATTCATTTACATATGATTTAAACAGTTTAAAATCATAAAATATGTGATTACATTTCTTTTAATAATAATAATAATAATAATAATAATAATAATAATAATAATAATAATAATAATGCATCAACAATTACATTAACCATTTAGCCATATACACGCTCCCAGTTTCTTTTGGCCTATACTAGACTAACAAACAGTTCAATGGCCAAGTAAAGGCCTGTTCCCTTTTCATGTCATGAAATAATGAAGCTTTTTAAGTGTAGTTTAAAATATGACTGAAAAAGAGACATTACTGTAAGGGAGGGAGGCCAATATTGGACTGAAAACTAAAATAGAAAAGACTTAAGAGAGGAGGCAAATCTGGAATACTCCTAGAAAGAATGAATGTCCCTCAGAGGAGCATGTTTTGAGAGGGGTCACACTATAGAACAGTAAGGTTGATTAGACTTTGTCAGAAAACTTTTCAGGAAAAGTTCTGAAAAAAAAGAGAAAAAAGATTTTTTTTGTACTAGAATGATGAGATGAGGAGGAGAAAAAACCTTTAACCTTTACATGCACTTTTCTAAGTGATGATTACTTATAATGAGGAAAAACAAAGATTTACCTTTCTCCTTAGATTTCCCATTATGAACCTCCAACATGATGTAAAAGAGAGCTTCCCAGGCAAGAAAGCCACCCATGACTTTCATTAACCATCCATCACTGCTGTCAATCAAGTTCAGGCCTGTAAATATGGCTCCCACTGTGTAACACAAAGAAACAAATATTTAAGACCAACAGCATGGGTGACGGTGTGTCTGCTTTGGAAAATAAATTAGAATTTATAAAAGAGTGCAGAACAGCATGAAGTAAAACAAAGGCTTACCGGCTAAAGATTTTATTATCACTGCATTCAAAAAATGTGATGTGTTGAATAGATACCGCCTGTCAAACAAAAGAGAATAAATATGAAAACATAAACTGCTGAAGTCAGTGTAAGAAAGAAAGGACAGCACATATCATTTGCTTGACAGAAGCAGCAGTGGTGGACAAACACACAGTGAAAAGAGATCTGTGAAGAAGATTCAGTGCATCACCCGGCATCCTAAGCTTATTGCATCATAACCAGCGGATGGTTCTGGGTCACCTGATTAAGCCCCAAGTAAAAGCTATAACAAAACAGAAAATTTTAGGCCTAAAATTAAAAGTAGAGAGGGTTGCTGTTTCTGAGAGCTGGTTTCATGGTAGAGGGGGCTGAAAGCAGCAGCCTCCTATACCTACTTTTGAAACTCTAGGAAAAACAGCCAGTCTGACAGCAAAGTGTTCTGTTAGGATAATAAGGTACTGCGAGGTCTTGTAGATATGAGATATGAGTGTTTCCATTGAGAAAAAAGTTTTGTTTCCCTTTGGAGAAATGACTTCATTCATGGATATGTATGCTTATTTAGTATTTTGGGCGGATGGTTATATTGGTGACACTGGGAGATTGGCTGAACTGTTCAGTGTTCAATCCATGATGGTGGCTCCTTCTTCACAGTCACTTAACTGGGGCTAAGCATGGAGCATGGCCTCCAAAGCTACAGCCATTCAGTGAAATAACTAAACATTTGGTACACTGAACAGTAAAGTGCCAGTGAGAAAAGATGGAAAAGATTTGAAATTGTAATGATATTTATGGAAGAAATATGAACAGAGCTATCAGAGGTTATCAACTACACTGAAACGAGTGAACAGTGAATGCAGTCATTAAGCAGGTGCTGCCCCATGCTTTTGGCTGATGGTGTTTCCAAAATTTGTCAAATAAGTGTACTAAAAAACAATAATGTGTGGAAAACAGTCATTGAACTCTAAAATGTGTGTTGGCATGCCATAGTAAATTAAATTAGAAGCACACACAGATTGATACATACAGGTGATGCTGTGGTCCGCAGCGCAGCATAGCCACTATAGGCTGGAAGAAGGAGAGGATCATAACCAGACAACCCAACACTGGATGTGCTCCCTGGAAACCAACAGCATTAACACTGGTAATCATGATGATGTAAATATCAGTCTGACAGTGGAAACACGTAACTACAGAGAGTGTTTAAAGAATGTCAAGACGAATAAAAAATTAAAATGATACTTTGATTTTATAGAGATGCTGTTTTTAATAATTACCATTACTATTAAGAAGACTTACTTAATAATATCTTCCAGTATGTTGGCTGTGCTTTTGATCTGTGTTGTATAGTATTGTTTAATGTTTAATTTACATCGCTTAAATTACTGTAAGGTGTAATTATCTCTGGTTGCAAAGGAGTTTTTAATGATAAGCAAATTTTTTAATGAAATTAAAAACACAGTGACAAACTGCATGATAACTCAGAGGACACAAGTCTGTGGGTCTTAAACGGTAAATGGATCGGTACTTATAAAGCACCTTCCTACTCACTTCCTTTTATGTGGTGTGAGGATGACTATTTACCCCAAGATCTGAAAGATGCCAGAATAGTGCAGCTGCACAAAGGCAAAGGTGAAAAGTCCTGTTGTGTCAACTATCAAGCAGGCAAGATCCTCTATAAGGTGATTTTAAAAAGGTTGAATACCTATCTTCAGAAGGGACACTACCAGAAAGCCAGTGCAGTTTCCCCCAGAGCAGAGGCACTGTTGACATAATGCTCGCCGCAAGATAGATCCAAAAGAAATGTAAGAAACACAATATGCATCTGTAAAACCTCTTTGTTAAGGTGTTCAACATTAGCGTCATGCCCACAATCTTGGGTATGACGCTATTTTCTGAACAGGAATCCCTCCCCAGATGGAAAAAGTAATCAGATTCTTTCATGATGGTGTAAATACAAGACTGGTCATTGGCTGAGATGATGATGAGTTTCCCATCACTCAAGTCAAGCAAGGATGCTCCAACACTCTTCAGCTTCCGTTTTAGATGTTGCTTCTCTCTGCTTTCAAAGACTTAAATACAGCCATCCAGATCACACACAAGACAGATGGAGGTAAAATTAATGCTCAGCGCCTAAAGGCAAAGACAAAAGTCACTAGATCACTTTTTCATGACTTCCTCGATCCTGATTACTGTTCTATAGTCAACAGCAAGCATGCCTGAAATAAAGATCAACGGTCCTTGGAAATTTTAACTCCATAACCGAACTTAGTTAGCTTACAAAGTATCGAGGTATCCAACAGCATTGCTAAGGAAAGTGCTTCCGATAGACTCCACAAGCAAGTGTGGAACGAAGATTCTGAGGTATGATTGTTCGGTTTTTCTCTGTATCTATTATTGTAGGATCTACTGTACAATATAAAGCGCCTTAAGGCGACTGTTGTTGTGATTTGGCGCTATATAAATAAAGTTGAAATGAATTGAATAGATCCTACATGAGGGTACACAAAAATAGTGCTATTTTGGACTTTATCAATCCTAATAGCCAGTCATATATATCCTTGGGTTGAGCATTTCCTAGTACTACCGTTGGTTATCCATGCACAAACACACTTAATGTGGGAGCCAAGTTAAGATAGTTCATATGTTTTAGTATTTATATTTCGCTGTTGTTAAGCGTGGTTGTGTAATTAATAATTTAAGAAGTAAATGCATGTTTATGGTGGAACTAAAATTATTTTATTGCTGTATTGGTTTGGTGCTACGTAACCAAACCAATACAGCAATAAAATAATGAATACATGTGCCTTAAAGACTCGTGTTTATAGTAAAATCCGGGCATCACGGATGTATGCAAATTAGCGCATGCGGTGCGGGAGGGGGGAGAGAGAAAAAGAGTTAACACGGCATAAGCTATACGGCAGCAGGGTAGAACAGAGCCACACGGTTTTCCTACCGTAGTAGGTTATTTTGTTGAGGATAAGTTAAACCTGACCACTCCTGTAAGATGCAAACTGTAGAATAAAATTTTTGTTACATCTTTTCACATCGGAGTCCCGTAAAGTTCTTTCTCCTTTTCAAACTGACGTTCCTGAGTGAAGCACGGGAAAACTGGTCTCACGGCTTATACACTTAATTTAGCACTTTTATCTATGCCTAAGTGCTTTTGTAACATTCACAAACACACACATACACACACACACGGTGCATCTCAAGGCTCAGTATCTTGTCCGTAGATTTACTAATTGCAGAACATTTTAAAGCTGGTATTAAAGGAGACTCAAATGTGGTACAATAAAATCTGAAGGATATTTGGATTCATGTATCAAATAAACAATAATTTGTATTCAGTAATTCCAACCAAAACCTTTGTGAACTTCGACACTAGGACCAAGTTCATATCATAAAAATCGTTATTTACTGGCAAATAATAGTGTGTTACATAGGTAAAGCCAGTTTTGTTGTTTGATTGATCTGTAATTAAAAAATATAAAACTGTAATAATTCTGATACTAGCAGAGTTAGTGTACCAACCCCAGACCAGTCCCGAGTATGAGCGAAAATGAGGATGAAAGCAATGATTGTGGCTGCTACCGTCAGAAGCATTACTCCAACATGGACCTGGAGGAACATAAAGAATACAACATGATATTAAGCAAGCCAAACATATACAAAATCAACAGTTCCCAAATAAGATTAAGCTTGGACCAACTGTCTTAAAAGTCTAACATATCTGACATATAATACTTAATATTTTCTTAGTATGTTTTTTTTCTATGATGACTCACCACAAACCAGAGATCTTTGTTGCACATTGTTGTTCCCTTGGCCATTGTTTTCAGATACCGGGCAACCATCATTCCCAGTGTTCCCGTGGTCATCCAGGCAATCAGCATTAGTGACCCTGAAAAACAGTTTAGTTTTGGAGTTCTCTCCACTTCTCTTTGTTTTATGAGTTAAGATGAGTTTCTTTCCCTGGTCCCAACATGTTTTTAGTCTATATATCGGTTTACTATAAAAAGAATTAAACCAACTGAGGCAAGCCATTAGGAGTACAACACAGAAATATTTTTATAGCTTTCAAACTGTATACAAACAATCGATTTTGATGGTGTACATTCGTACAATATGTTACAAATGATTGTTTTGCATGATGATAAGTCACTGTGTCATGAAAGAGGCAAGAGTTACTGCCAAGAAATATGCATCTAACTTGTAAAACCCAATCCACGTTTTTGGTCTATTTTGTCACGTCGAGGGATTAAACTGAATTTCCCGGCGGAACCAATCCAAGGAATTAATAGAGTTTCATCTAATCTAATGTAGTCTAGTCATTAAACGCTGTGAAATGCAACATAAATGTAAGTCTACTTGGTATTATAGATAAAATAGTTTAATCTTAATGGAAGAAAAAATTCAATGTCTTCCCATGTTCCCAGTAGCATGTATCCTCGACTATTCACCGGTTAACACAGTGTACTAACTGTCAACTGGTTGGCCAAAGTATGTGAGAAAGGACTTTACATAGTGACTCTTTCACACAGAGACCTCTCTGTGCAGGATCTTACCATGAGCTTTGATGATATCAGGAAATCCCCTTTCACTTACAACAGGAGTAGAAATGGCCATCTTAGTAGTGCTGACAAAGTCGTGCTTATGGAATTGGATTTGTCCTGTAGCAAAGATATCGCAAAGCTTATACACAACTGTTTGTATATGTATAGCTGTGTGTGTGTACACAGAATAAGCTGAATCAAAAAAAGAGTAACACGGCCAGGACGAATGAAGGAAAATAACCATCTGCTCTCTCAGTCGAGACGAAAAATTAGCTGCAGTTACTGAAAAAAACACATCCATAAGTGATGTATTGAAAGGTGATGAAAGTGATTACATGGCCAAAGCATGAAACACATTATTTTAATGCTAATGGCTGAGTATTTCCAAAAGTTGATTCTGTTCATCTGGACATAGCGTTTTGTGGGAGAAACGTTTCGTCATCATCCAGGTGACGTCTTCAGTCTCAGCTGACTGCAGGTTTCCCCAATCTTATAAACAGGACATTTGCATAATGACTGAAACCAGCCCACTGAAGGAACAAAGGACTGGGAGGTCAGTTCCTTAATCATAATTATGCAAATTCTCATGACCATTGATCAACAACCATGGCAAAAACAACAACAACAACAACAATGGCTGAGTAAGTTTGAATCTGTAATCGAAAATTTAGATACATGCTGGTGTATGATTCCTTTATGATATTTTTATTTTTATAAATTTTTTTTGTTGTTTTACAAAAGAAAAACACTTTAGAAAGAAACTTTAACATAGACATGAAAAATATTCTTTTATATTTTTTTTCATAAACTGACCAGGGTTGTTAAACATGTGACTTCTTTTAAAATGTTCACACGATTGGAAAAGGAAGTACAATCAAAGGCCCTGCACTCAGAAAAATAAAGGTGCCAACTGGAACCAAAAGTGGTTCTTTAGACTGATGCCATAGAAGAACCTTTTTTGGTGCCACAAAGAACCTTTCAAACAATGGTTCTTTGAAGAACCATTTCTTTCAGTGGTTCATTGAAGAACCTTTAAA